CTGAGTTCTGTTCTTTATTTGATGCATGATTTCTCCATTTAAACCTCCCTCACTTTTGTGCATGCAAATGTGAGCGATCCGAGTTTCGCTTTTAATGCATTTGACTAACCGATTTTGTTAATCATCTGCAACGCAACCGGTTTGTTCAGCATGCAACAAAAACAACGTAACATTACCAATAAAGGGTTTATGGAAATGCAAAACTTGTTTGAAAAATTATATTTCTGGACACTCTATTACCATTAAACGAAACTTGTTTTTTGTTGTAAGTAAGACAAATTAATATTTCAAAACTTAAAAATGGATGGACTAAAAATAAATTGAAAATATTGTTTCGAATCGTTTCGATTTCGATTATTATTATCGATTGTGAAAAATCAATCGGTCAACATCCTAGTGGAAATATATCCCTTTTTTGCATCATATACTAAGATGTTGACACAAATGAGCTGTTAGAACTTTTGAAGCTCTCTGGGACCAAAGTCAGCAATATTCAAGAAAATAAAGGATTGGTGGTGAAATGAAATATTCAATTTGCAGAGATTTATTAAACCACATCGTAAATTTAAAATATTATATAAAAATAGATGGAGTGGCTGTCGATATAACCTTTTGAAAGAGTCGCGAGAAGGGATGGGAATCACAGGCATCGTCATTGTCATCATCATGGTCAAATACTGACAGGTCAATATGGGGTTTGGGTCCTGAAAGAAATAATCTGCTGACAACAATGAAAAGGAGTTTTATTTGGGCGCAGAAAAAAGAAGCATGACCTATATATATAGTGCCATCTAAAGACATCCGAATCTTCAATAGTAATACTTTTTGGTGTCACGGGATTAAGCTATATCACAAACCAATTGTTGTTTTCTTGTTAAAGCTTTTGATTGCCCTTCTTGTTCTTGTTCTTCTTGCTCTTGTTGTTCTTGTTGTTCTTCTTCTTGTCGTTGTTCTTCTTGTTGTTGTTGTTCTTCTTCTTCTTGTTGGTTTTCTTCTTGTTGTTGTTCTCCTTCTTATTGTTGTTCTTCTTCTTGTTGATTTTCTTCTTCTTCTTGTTGTTTCCCTCATCTTCAGTTATAATAGTCTTCAGCAATCTTGAATTAAATCTTCATTCTGTTTGCAGATATATACAATGTCATCAGATGACTAAATGCAATTAAGAAAAATCAAACTTTGTTAATACTGACTCAGGTGTAAACATGTTGGTAAGTTATTCGTGATCTTAAACATTGGAGATTGTTACTCTATGTGTCGATGTATATGATGGCTTGTTAGATGTATAACTTAAGATTAGCTTTTGTTGTAAGGAATATGAAGTTTCTTTAAGATGATGGAGACCTGTTTTTTCAAACTCTATCAATCCTTCTTTCTGAAAACCGAAAATAAAGTTAGAAAAATTTTTTTTTTAACTCAAGATATATCCGTAAAGACAACCTACCCATTGTAATTGGGATTTTTTATCAACTATCTCAGATTCCTTGATGATATCTTGCATATTCCAAAAGAGTTTTATCAGTTTCGACTTTTTATCATCCTTGTTATAGAAAAGCAAATTATAGAATTAATCAAATAGAATATAAAATTAATTGAACACAACATGCAACTAATGCAGCATAATCAAGCCACAGACAAGCAAGCAAGCTTTTGTCGCGAATAAGCAATCCGAAGACTATTACGGACGAGAAGGCAACTCATAAGGTGTCCGTGCGAGAAAGCAACTCACAAAATAGTCTATGAAAACAGTCCAAATAAATAAAACAGGTATACTTACCCTAAAACTTTCTTTCCATTTCAGTGCCTTCTTTCCGATTTCGGTAGTATGTAATAATATTATTCAATTCAAGTTTGTATCGACGGTGCTCCGTTTCTGGAACTTTCAAATCACCAATGTGAACTCAGAATTCTAAAAAGCTTTTGAGCGAAGGATTATCTGTGTTCTTCCAAAAGGCTATATATTACAAACAGGTTACCTATGAAATCATTGTCACGAGAAATCACTCACAATGCGTCTTACACAGTACTTCAGAGCGTTAGCACATTCAAGTAGCAAATGCATTTTACGAAAATAACTAGGAAATATTATATAAATATGCAGATGAAAGTTATGAAAATTTTCATAAAGAGAAATGTATCACGAGTTTAATTAATCAATTGAAAAAAAAAAATTTTTTTTTAAATTTTCATCTAAAAAAATTTGAAAAATAGCAAAACAAATAAATCATGGTAGACAAATTATTATTTTTATTTTTATACATTCATCATTAAATTCAAGAGTTAACTAATCTAAAGAAACAATAATAATATGAAATTCCGAAAACAATAATGATCAATTATAATCAATTATAATAATATAGACTAAAGGTACATCTAGTTTTGGTAAGCGTCATACAAAGACTCATACATTATGTCGTCGTTGTGGCAGAAGGGCCTTTCACAATCAAAAGAAAACATGTGCTCAATGTGGATATCCAGCTGCAAAGACCAGAAATTGTAGGTTTTGTAATTAAATATAAATGAAATATGATTTATGTTAAAATGTTAAAAATTATTCTTAAATCAATGTGTGATGTTTAATTTAGATAATTGGAGTGAAAATGCTAAGCGTAGAAAACCCACGGGTACTGGTCGTATGCGATACTTAAAACTTGTGAATCGACGTTTTAAGAACGGTTTTCGTGAAGGTAAAAAAATGATTTAAAGGAGAAAGTGTACAGAAGAGAAATAATCTCTAACGTTCGTTTGCATTTTTTATTTTTTTTTTTAGGAGTTTAATTTTCTATATTTATACAAATTTGAATTAGAAACCTTTTATATATATATAAATTAGGCACAAAAAAAGAAAAGAATACTTTATTTAAATAAAAGATCTTTAAATAATTATTTTCAGTATTTATTTTGAAAATTAATGATAATGAAGAAGTTAATGTAATGATGGTGATAGTGGTGGTGGTGGTGACGGTGACAATTATGTACTTGAATTAACAGAAGAAAAATTTTCAAAATTATATTATTATTAAACTCTAGCATAGATAACGATATGTGTAATAATCAAAGAA